GGCTAGTCGTGTAAATACAAGTCCTGAACAATATTTCAAAGGTTAGGCCCCGCTTTGCTAAAGTTCCTGGTATGGTTGGAAGTAGAATAACTGGGGTCCGAAAATCTGCTTAGACCATGTAAAAATCTGCCCAGCTCCTCCTACTCATCTCCTACATAACAGGATTTTGGCAGCATCTGGCTGAAATTTCTCATATCATTAAATCTGTGTGTGTCCATTTTTGTGTCTCTCTTTAAGTGCCTGGAAAGATAGCATGTGCTGGGAAGACAGTGCCTGCTGTTAGCCTGTACAAGCAGGGCAACACCCACATCAGTTTTGTGTGTTTGAAAAGTTAGATGCACCTCATTTCCCTTTGTAGCTGACAGCATGAGTAGCTACCCTTTGTTGCAGCAAAGGAAATTGACAAAATACAAGGGGAAAACAGCTGATTGGCTGTGTTCATAAACAAGTTTCAAAATTGATTCTTTGGTCTAGACTTCTTTCTAATGTGACTTACTAGAATTCTAAGATCAGCTTAACAAAAGTAGATTGCAGATTAGATACCTATTTCAGATAACTGTAGGGAAGTTTGGATGCTTTTGAGGTTCTTGGCTCTGTGTGCGGAGGACTATATGTTAACTACAGAGGGTGGTATTTTTAAAAGACGTTTTTTCCAATGTGGCTAGAAATTGTAGCTTGTCTTTTGTTCTTCTGTTATGCTCAAGTGGAAGATGTGCTAAAATGTCTACTAATACGTTAGTAGAGAATTTATAAAACTAATGCTGACAATTATTATAGTATAACCTTTTTTTTTGCTTAAATTGTTTAGAACTAAACAGCAGGAGCAGGTTGTTATGGGTAGTGTCCTTTAAAAAGTAAACCCAGGGTATATATCATAAAACATGTTGAAAACTGGAGCTAGATGCATGTTGACTTGACATACCTGAAAGTAATATTTAGTAAATGAGGTTACTTAAAATTAGTATATGCCAAATAACTGTAATTCAGCCAGTAACTCTTTATCTGTGTGGTTACAGACTTGTCTCTTATCTCCTTTTAGTGGTATGTTTGGCCTGGGTGTGCTTTCTCTTTTATGCAGAACAGCTTTATGGCAAAACCTCAGGTCAAACCTCTGGGTTTTGGCTGTAGTGAGAACTGGAGCTGTAAGTGGGGAGAGTCACAATTTATATATGCTGTTTTCATAGGCTCTTGAAGCAATAGGCTGTTGGATTTTGATCCCGCCCAGAGTACTTGAGTTTTTCTCTGCAAGATATATAATAGCGGTAAGTTCTAGAAGCAGGCAGTTCGTTTTGCTCTTTTCCCTTAACACGATGTGCAGTTTGTCTTTTCACAAAATAGCTGTTGTCAGCTTTTTATTTATTTTTCAACAGGTTTTGCCTGCCCACCTGAGAGAAAAAGGCAATGGAGACCGAACAACAGGAAGAGACCTTTACCAACACAGAGACAAATGGTAAATTTTTTAAGGGACTATTTATTTTTGGAAGAAAGCTCTTTAAATTTCTGAATTTCTAAATATTTCCTAGTGCTTTAGCTCTGTTGAATGTTTGTATCAGTAGTAGTTTTGCATTCTGTATAAAATTTTTCTTTTTAATTGTACCCTAGTATTATACACATGCTTTTGAAGCATAAATGTAAATCTTTTTGTTGGTATGTTTTAGAACTGGGGTAAATAGCTGAAAGTTACAACTAAGGATTTGAAAATACTTCCTAATTACATATCCAATACTTATGTGGAGAACTATTGCAGAATATGACCAGGCATGTCTGTTTAATTGCATTTTGCTTCTTCCCATTTTTACATGCAGGAGTATAAATTTGTACAATGCATCTGAAAGGCTTTGTGAAAAACTTCTTGGGCATAATTAGTGAGGAAGTTACAACATTACTGTTGTTTATTCGTGCTGTTTTTCTCCAAACACTATTTGAAATGCTGCTTTACTATTATTCCAACACTATTTCAGTGTTGGACAAACTACATTTGAGCTTTTTTGACTGAAAGGTTTTCCCCATTTGTAAACTATCAATAAATACTAAGTGCATGATGCTGCACCACTTTAAATGGCATGTTGTGAATTTCTCACTGACTTCAGACAACATTCTCATTCAAACTGCTTTTCTATGGATTTTCAGTAGTTAATTGATAAGCTGGCCAAGTAAAAACCTTTTTCTATACTAGGATGCTCAGAATAGGTGTCAGTAATTAGTGTTGGGCTAATA